CATTGTTGTCACCTCGATTTATTGGTGATCTTGTAATATCACCACTCTTTTCATCAGTCGTTATTTCACCTCCTCCCTTGTGAACCTGTATTATCATAAACTCAATTAAAACCATATTATATACAGATAGCAACAAACATGTGCACCTTAAACCTTCATGTTCATAAATAAATTGTTAGAAACTTATTGTACTATATAAACATAACCTCTCTCAAATTAAAACAATTATATGGATTCTTATCATAATCTTCTAATATTTTACACTCATCATAAGCATCATGAGTGGGACTTATATGTATGAGTTAGCAATTAGACCTTCTTAGAGTAAGAATTGCTACAAGTGAAGATTCCTTTGATGATATGCCCTGTTCCTCCGGCGATGGCCTTAGCCACAACACTTTTGTATTCTTCAGCCTTTGGCGCAAACTCTTTCCAATCAATTTCATTGTTGTTCTTACTCAAAGGTGAGAAACAAGAATTCTCTCCATGAACTCTTCTAGAAACACCAAGTTTTTCATGACGTCTTCTTCTTCACCAGAGAAAGCGACGCCATACCTAAGTGGATCGCCATCTTTCACCGGAAGCGTGAACATGTAGTCACGAGCGTTGACTTTCACCACCGGCTCGTCTTTAACCACCAGCCACTGAAGGTTATGTCCGACTCTGATGAGCATCTCTAGAGCCACGTTGTTGTCTGATGAAACTTTTACAAGCTTGAACTCCCCGGAGGCGAGCTCCAATGGTTCGGATGCATCCACGAGATGGACTCGGCACTCGGGAATCAGCAACAAGACCTCTTCTTTTGCGTTCTGGGAAGATTGGGTATGTTGGATTGGTGAGGACATTGTGCTTTGATCGTAGTTCAATAGTACTTTAGTGTGGTTTATATGCGATGATCGATCGTAAAATGTTGGAAGATTGCAGGTAATGGAATTAAACCCTTAAGATGAGATCATATTAATGGCCAAAATAAAAATTATATAAGACTATGAAATATGATCTTATTATAGTTTGATAATGGAGAATTAGTAATTTGTTCTAGCATGAACTATTCAATTTGTTCTAGGCTTTTAGATATAGTAGTAGCCTAGTTGTCTTCTTTTTCTTTTTATCATCTAGAATTATATTAAACTACAAGAGACAACAAATTCACTACAAACAAAGCCAAGGAATACAAGCTTCTCCAGAGACATTGATATAGCTAGAAGCTAAAGTCTAAGGATACAAAGATTTTCAAAGAGACAAATCTTTGCCCTTAGGAGACATATGAACTAAAAACAAAGAAGATAAGGTATTTGATTAAGGAGGAAAGTAATGATGTAAACCTCAAGCTCAAGCCACGAAGCCAATAGCACACCCACACACTAAACCAAGGAACGTGAAGAAGCCAAATCTGAGCCAACAAACATAAACGTAGAACAAAACCTAAACCTTGAGGCACACCCAGACACCTGGATAACCAAAACACGGCTCTAGGACTAACTTAACCAGCAGACAGAGAAGGCGGATAAAAAAGCAGGGAGATAAAAGCAACAGAGCAAAGAACCAACGTCGAGTAGCCTTACCATATAAACCGGGAAAACAGAGGAGACAACGACGCCAAGACAATAATAACCTGACCACCGAGTCTAACCGAGAACACCAAACCAACCTCTGAAACCAACCAAACGCATATACCACAAACAAACGCCTGGGACCGACRACCACGCACATCTCCTCGCCCAAAAGAACCCTAACTCACACAAGCAAACTAAAGGGCACTGGATCGAGGAAAAGAACCCTCAAAGACCASCAGCAGCAAATATGGGACTCCATCATAACCACAATCAGCAAAGACAACAAAACATCAAGGACAAAAGGCCACCTAATACCAAACCAAATCGATATCAGAGGACTAAAACCCAAATGAACTGGTCCTGCTAATGAGAATCAGAGAAGCGCATACCTGTCAGAGCATACCGAGAATAAGAAAAACAAAGCTCAAAGACAAGCCAGAGCATGAAACCTCATCCCGACAAGCCGCTACATGCACCAACTCCGAGACCCAGAGAAAAAGTTCTCACCAACAAGGACTTGATCTCTAAAAAAAGTTCTCACCAACAAGGACTTGATCTCTAAACCACCAGACGAGAAGCCGCTCTATCGATAGACACTCTGACCATTGAAACCGACAAAAGGGAAGACACATCGGGTTAAACCAGAAACGAGATAAGAGGAGAAAAATCGGATCCAGAACCTGAACCTCTTAACCAAACAAAGCTCAGTCCATCTTCAACTCGTCTCAAATCCAAACCAGATCCGAAACCACACACATCACCAAGCCAGATCTCGAGAACTCACTGCCAAAATCCGAGAAACCCATCACCGAAACAGATAAAAGACAATCTACAAGAGATTTACGGGACTAAACTCGACCGATGATGGAGCTAAAGTAGCCTCCGGCCATCGGCCGAGTATCCACAGAATCGCTCTTTTTTTCTCTTTTCACAGGCGGCTAGGGCGACGAGTCTGTCTTGAAGTTGTTTTCTCTTTCCGACATTTTGATAATATTATAAAGCCTTTACTTAAAATAATCGTTTCTTTTATTGACAGTATCTTGTCTTGGCACAAAGGTAAATTATTTGTGCAAATGGTAAACTGGCTGAATTGCATAATTTAGCTGAAGTTTTGGTGATTTTTTGCATAATTTGGCGAAAAAACTGTAAATTCAAATGGTAACAGCTGAATATTGCATAATCTGGCAGAATTAGTTTTTATGAATTAATTAATTAAGCTTATAAATATTAATTTAACAACTCTTTTTCAAATTTAAATCATTTTATGTTTATAATTAAATGTATTAAATTAAAAAAACAATAATAAATTTTTTATTAAATTAGCTTCTAAACCTAACTTATTTTATCAATATTTTTTACTCACCGAAATTAATAAAGATATTACAAAAATTGATTTATAATTATTTATTTTAAAAATTAAAAATAAACTAAACCAACGAAAAGTTAAGAATATTAGTAATGCAATCTTCTTAAACTCAAATAATTTCAAATTTACTCAACGAGAAGAAGAAAAAAAAGACATTCAGCGTTGTTAAAAAAAAAAAAAAAAGACATTAAGCAACTTTTGTCTTTTAGTGCAATTTTTTCAGCTGAATTCTGTTCATTCAACTGGTGTAATTAATGTGAAATTCTGCTGAATTCTTCATAATTTCTTACTTCTAAATATTTATAGATTAGCTATTTGTCCCCAAAGAGTTTTCATCTCCTATACGGTTATATAATATTGCAATTTACAATCTCTTAGATATTAATTAGAGAATAATTTGTGAGAAAATGTTTGTGTCATCTCCAGAATTATTCTCACCAAAACAATTGTTACATAGTTTTACAAAATTATGACATGGCAATTTTGAATCAATAACAAAATCATCTACA